TTTGTTTCATCCCAATTGAAACCATCATGTCATCTCATGAAACCATTATGTCTATCTATTTCCTTCATCTCAGTTACATCAAAGCACTTATTGAATGACTCTTTTGCATTTCCGCCACTGAAAATAATTATGTGATTTAGAATTCAGACCCTATGGCTCTCTCTTTCATCTCAATTCCCATCAATGCCTGAGATTTGAAAGATGCGAAGTTAGAAGCAAATTGACAAAACTTCATAGTTTGAACATGAATAATTGTGGCTTGCCTATTGAATAAAACATATTTATAGTCAAACCTTTCTTTTCACCAGTTTGACCTCCACAATCAACTTTTTTTCACGTAAGAATAATTGTTCGATGACAACAATCAACTTCTTTTCACTAGTTCCTTTACACATTTTTTACCAAATTGAGTTGCATAATAATTAATTTCTTGATGACCACCAGCAACTCCTTTGTAGAAGGGCATTGTGGACGTTTACTAGTATCTCCTAAACATATACCCCTTACAAGATCAAGTCTCCAAACATGCCATAAGTATTAGAGGTGTTATTAACAAATTGAACCAAACAAATTATTACAAATTTAATTAACTATAATCTCCTGGATAATTATATACTTGGATTATAGTGAGTTGTATTAGCCCAGGGATAAAACTAGCCCCTAATCCATACATGGCCTAATAGAATAAAAAGGTAGACCTCCTTACCTTACAATCATGTTTTGAAATGAAGGGACCCCCAACTTTCATTTGTTAGGGTACAAGACTACTCAAAATAAAATAATATATTATCATTTTCCAATGGGTTATATTTCCATTTGAAAAGAAAAATGTGAAAAACAAGTGCTTTTCATGAGAAATGGAATGATTGTTCTATCATCGGCCAGTTTCATTTATAAGTCCTTCACTGAACTTTCACCTTGAAAAAAGATGACTCAGGAAAAATTTAGCTCATAGGGAAAACCATTTTCAATGCCCAATTCTCCTAGGAACTAAACAAGTCCCCTCTTTCCACCATTATACCCCATATTTTGTAATTGACAAATCTATTTTAAGAGAATAATTTAATACCTCTGCTCCGCTAATTGCATTGATCACAATTGTTCCATCCAAGGAGAGGCCGTCAAGGAATACATTTTGCCCACTGATTACCATAGTAGATCTTTGAGATACAGAACATCCCGTGAGCACTTTTTTCCTTACGTCCGAAAAGATTAGTGCCCATTTAGGCTTCCACATGATGCGAGGCCACACTTCCACCTCTTGTCCATTGAACACATCGACTACAGGATCTGCAATTTGGACTCCAGCCTACAAAAAAAACAACCGGTTAGACCATGTCTTTGCTTCTAGTGCTACAAGAAAAAAGAATTAAGTAAATTCAGAAGTTAACCAAGGTTGGATAAAGGTACACCAATGACAGTCACCTTTGACTGACATATAGCCTATCTCTTGTGAACAAATCAACTATAAGCCAGTTTTTGTAGCATAAAATAAACCAATTGGACAAATTGTCGCCAAATAGTAGTCTGGAATCTAAAAGCATTTAATCTAGATAATGGATATTTCACAATAAGATTTTAGATTGTCTAGAAAAAATCATCTGCAGAAACATGGTTTAATAGACATCACAGCGTATTATGCTTCTGCATAGCATGACACGGCCTTAGTAGCAGGGTAAGTCTAGGGGCTTATACACCCATGTCACTGATACAACAGAAAATATCCAAATTCATAAATCTTTGCATGTACCATATTATAAGATATGCTGCTGATATAATTGGAACTGCCAAAAATTTCAAGATCCAAGGTAGGAAATCAACTTAGGATGAATTGCTCCAACAATTTGATAGTAGAAATTGCTGTGACTTTATTTATTGTTGCATTTTCAAAAAATGAATAGAGAACTTGTTGGTAATGCGTTTTCAAGCATTGATATGAATAGCGTCAACAAAACTCATAATCAGGTCAGTTTAACTAAAGCAGTTTCTGGCATTTACTGCAACAATTTAAGCCTTACCCACCTTAAAGGAGTAAAATAAACTTCTAACCAACCTACCTTAGAGTAAATTAAAAGTCCAGTGGAATTGTTTTAAATTTGCTCCTTTATTGTGGTAATATGGACACTGTCAGAACTAATTAGGATATTACATTTTCCTTGGAAGTCTAGATTCAATTCGACGGTAAGCCTGCTTTCTGCTCAAGATGTAAAAGCTTTTGGAAATAGAAAATCTTGTTATCTCAACATTTCACCTATTCCTACTCATTTTATAGATTAGTGAACATGGGTGGTTCTCTGGTTGGTTGAATGACCTTGAACTTTATGATGAGAAAATGGCAGGTCTATTTACATGCAGTCTCACCGTCACTGTTTTTGTTTTCTCCAATGATAAGGGTTACACAGCATATTTACATACAGTTCAACTGAGAAGAAGCAATCAGAAACTTGAGGTAATAAATTGTGCTCAGTGATGCCATATTTTTCTTCCCATATTGCCTCGTCTGACAGATGTTTATAGAGGTATAGCAGTTTAAAATCTGATATGTAGATTTGCATCAAGTAGCTCTACGCAGGCAATATAGTTCCATCAGACAACTCCTTGCTTTCCACCAGGTCCATAGAAATACGTTATAGTCATGTGTTTAATTTGCTACAATTTCTTCATGTATCTGCTTTTGTCGAGAATGTCGGTGATGTCTTATCTCCATTGCCAGTGGTACAAATATACTGGTATCTCCATCAATATGGATTCCTTGTTTCCCAGAAGTTGTTTGGTAGTTTTTTATTTAATACGTTCCAAGCCTTTCGCCCACGAGGATACCCAATACTTCGAACCACTGGAAAAGCTGCGATAGCGCTTTATCCTCTCATAAGCTCTTGGTCATTCTACAAGCTATAGGAACTATGAAGTGTCCATATTTTGTATGTTGTATTTTTATTTAATCTTCAGATTGGGCTTCGCTTCAAATTTGACCTCAATTAGATTGCAATGTGAATAAAGAGATCGTCATAAAATTTTGCTTTTGTCCTGTTAATAAGGCTGTATATAAATAACTTAAGGATTTATTTCTGCGCAAATTTATTGGAATAGATGGTCACAGAAGGTCACAAATAACATAGTTTATTCTCCCATTTTTTCTGTTCCATTCCAGTTGCCTTGTTGCAAAGGCTTTCAACCTTGTCCTTCCTGCAAAGTATAAGACATTATGTTCTTTAATTTGAGACATTTGCCATATTTGTCAGTTATCAATTTGACCAACCTATCCACAGGTTGCTGCTTATTTTGAGTCTGTTTAGCCAGAAAACAGCACAGAACCCTATAGATATTCGCTCATTAAGTCCACCAGACAATATTCTCCGCAGATTTTATCTCATGTGATCTTGAAATTCCTGTGCTTCACCGTAAGACTCTTCTCCTTTTCTATTTGAAGATATTGATCACTAATATTAGCACTGGCAACATGCAATATAGAAAACCTGGTAAAGCAGAAGCCATGGGCAACTTTATAAAGACTAGCTGGCCTGGTCTAGAGAGATCCTAACCTTTTTCATCCTGCTGCCAATTCGTACACCTTGGATACTGGAATGTACATTTTTCTGTCCTATTTTCCCATACCAATACACCTAGATATCTAGTCTCTTTCCAAAACCTTGAGTTTCACTCTAATTCTACGAGATTAGATTTAGTGCCAGTAAATCCAAATTGACATACTACTGCGGATTTCTTATTTAGATACTGTGTAATGGCCATGGAAAACTTCTAAATTGTTCAACTCCCTTGTCTTCAATTTCCATGACTTCAGTTTCCCTTATAGCATAAAATCATCAGAAAACATGAGATTGATAACTTGCGTAGTTATCTCCATGCAGCCCAACCCTTTAGATTTCCTTGTCTATAATTATCTTCTCACATTAGCTATGAGTGAACTTACTAGGCATATTCAAGAGGATGACCGATGGTGTATGTCATTTAGTGATGACTCAGTACTAATTGATGAGATTAGGGAAAGGGTTATTTCTAAATTAGAAAGATGGAGAGAAGCGCTCGCAACTAAACGATTCATAATTAGCAGAACAAAAACAGAATACAAACGATGCAATTTTAATAAAAACGTGAAAAAGAGAGTATAATACATTTTGAGGCTCAGAAAACCTAGGAGTAACCAAGATCCTGGGCTATTTAGGACATAAGTTATTCGTTAAAACGGTGAGACTAAGAATACTCTGGTTCATCCAATCAAATCAAACCAGGATGGTTAAAGTGAAGTGTTCTAGAGTCCTATGCACCCTTAGAATACCTATGAGAGTGAACAGAAAATTCTATAGAACTTTCAATGTGGCCGGCATTCACAGATATAAAGTACAGGTAGAAGTTCAAAGCTAGTCAAATTTCTATCCTGAGCTCCTGATAACTTTTTTATTTAGCACTTGATTATTCCCACCCAAAAAAGGTCAATAGCAGAATAACACTGGTTACTATGACTAGTTAACCATGAAAGTCTTGCATTCTATTTCAATAAAGGTAACATATCTACTAGAGTTGGATAAGAGGGAAATAATATGTGGTTAACTGTGTAGAGACTCAAGGATATCAAAGATGTCTCAACATGCTAAAAAGTATGGTGTGATATTTTAATCATAATCTCCAGACCATCATAAAATGTAATCGGAAACGGAATGCAATGGTAGAATGTTAAGCCTTCAGCATGTACACAATATGAATGATAATGGAATCCCATGCTTCATGCAATAATTTTATGAAGGATATTTCCCATTTAATTCAAACATAAAGATATCAAGAAAGATTGTAATTTGCAATAGTAGAGACATACATATGGAACAGGGACACGCTAACATACTAGTTTTACTTAAGATAACTGTGTAAAAGCCGTTAAATATTATTAACATTTTTATTTATATTAGTTTTGTCATTTTGCTGGCTGAAAATAGGCAAGATGAAGCTTCTTATTTTACTTGTATGGTTATGATTTAAAACATGCAATTCTTGAGGTAATATGATGCATTATAGGCAAGAATTAACCACCTCCCATCTAATAGATAGACACCAAGTTAGTTCATATGTTCTATATCCATAGCAAACGCTTGTACCTTTCTTAGAATGAGGCTATTCGCCCTGTAGATGGCCATTTCTCCACTAGTTGCACTGTGGTAAGGATTTCCCTTGGGTACCTGCAGTTGATTAAGTCACAATCACTAAAGCATGATAGCATATTGAAACTCCAACAATATCTAAATAAGAACAATTGAAAGAAAATGTGCTATGTTCTCTAGCTATCGATTGTGCAAAATAAAAGGCGAATTATGATTTCATATTAAGGGTGCACTTGGTACGTTGCAAGTGGAGGAGTTGCAACTGGAACTTTTTTCCCCAGGTACTAGTATTTTCTTCATTGTTGCAACCAGCTTAAATAAAAAAAATCAAAATCATTATTAAAATTTTAAAAACTATAAGAATTTCATTAGACATTTTAATAATTTTTCAAAAAAATATTTTTAGATTTCTTAATTTCTAAAAATAGAAATATTAAAATAATCTCGAATTTAACCCCAATTAGTGTAGGAGATTTTTCAAAAAGTAAAGTTTTTCGAAAAATATATTGTTATATTCTTATTGAAGTTCTTCAAAAAGTAAAGTTCTAACAATATCATTTTTTTCAAAGAAAATATAACATTTCCAAAAAAATTATTCTTTAGAAAACATTATTTTTTCAAAACATCAATTTTACATTTTGGAGATTTACTATTGATTCAAATGAATTGCTTATTGAAAACATCAATCTTCAAACAATATCGTTATATTCTAAAAAACATTATTTTGTTAAAAATGTTGTTTTCTCAAAAGAAATACGTCAAAATATTATATTCTCAAAAATATTACTGTTTTTAAAATAAATATTGTTTTTCAAAAAATGTTATTATGTTCCTAAAATATTGTTTTTCCAAAATTTATGCTCCAAAAATGTCATTTTTCCAAAATATTATCTTCCCAAAAATATCATGTCCCAAAATATTATTTTACTAAAATATTGTTTTTCCAAAAATATTATATTGTCATCAATACCATATTTCCCAAAAAATATTATTTTCCAAGAATAGTTTTTTGAATGAGTTTTTTCTTCTCAAAAATATTATTTTTAAATTTTTTTTATAAAGTAAAAATATATTATTAAAATTGATTATTTTGAAAATATAAAATATTAGCTAATAATTGTTTGTAATTTAGTTAAAGGAAAAAGATGTTGCATACAAAAAATTACAAGTATTACCAAATAATTGCAACTACAAGTTATAAAATTTAAAAAGGAGAAAGTTTTGAAATAGACCCTTTTCAAAACTTAAATAGCAAAAATCAACCAAAAATTATTTAAAGTAGTGAAATTTACCACTTTTCAACCACGTCAGCATGAGCGACTGAAGAGTGGTCAATTTAGCAAAATATGATTTTTGAAAAACACGAGACTACTGGTCTTTGTGTTTACTACTTAGAAGTTAATTATGATCTCAAAACACAGGCTAGGAAACACTGGACTAAACACAAGTCGAGAAATATGGTACTAACAGTCCCGTGTTTGTTTTACGAAGAGCAAATAGTAAAATCCTAATCTACATTTTTCAAGAAATTAAAGATGATCAGCTAAACATAACCAAATTTCAAGTAAAATCAAAAGGGAAACACAAAATATCTAATTAAATCCAATCAATCCTAGACCAATCAAACCCAAAATCAATCAGATACAATCTCATATCTTAGTCCAGTCCCTCCTCATGCATCTCATTCAACGGCAACGACGTCGGCCCATCGGAGCTAAAAAGATAACTTCTCATCTATTCTGGTAGCACTGATACATTGGCGGTAGCATCAAAATCACTAGAAAAAGACATGTTGAGGGTGGTCACGTAGAGGAGGGGTCGCATGTGATGCCGAAGGAGCAGGGGTGGGGGAGAGTGGGTCCCAAGCAAAGGGTGGTGGACAATGAAGGGACGAGGGTGGATTTGAGAGAGATGAAGTTTTGTAAGTTAAGGATGAGGACGAAGAGAGGATGAGGGAGAAGAGGGTAGAGACAAGGTAGGGGTTCATGTGGACAATAATTAGTGAAAACTAATTTTATGAGACTGATAGTCCCATGTTTTTCATAAACTGTATTTTGCAAAATCGACCAATTTTAGTCAGTCATGTTGACATGGCTGAAAAGTGGTCAATTTGTCTAATTAAAAAACTTTTGGTCGGTTTTGCTAATTAAATTTCAAATAAGTGTCTATGTCAAAAACTCTCCATTTAAACATCGAACAAAATAGTTGCAACTACAGTTGCATGCAAGTGTCAGTTGCATTACAACTACAGTTGCAACTAACAAACACCCCCTAAGTGAGCATGACATAGCATAAAGATGTACATACACAACAATTGGATTTCTTCTTGCAACCCTCTCTAACAACCCACTAAAACATAACAAATCCAATGACAAAGCATGTAATGTGTCTTTGGAGATATCACTACAATATATCTATGTAAACCGTACAATTGAAAATAATGTGAATAATAGTGAAAATGATTTTTACTGTGATAAATATCATTTATTGATGTTTGAGTAGGCTATGAATGATTTGAGATCAATTCAATGTATATATGTGAGTGTAGGAGAGAATCATGCACAAACATGCACGAAACCAGTAATCTGATAAAGCCTCGGATCAGTCGACTGATGTCAATACATCAGTCGACCGACGGTTATCAGTCGACTGATGACATGCATCAACCGACTGATGGGCTGATTTCCAGATTCCTAATGGGTTTCGGGTTGGGCTGTTTGAGTTTGGATTTGTGTGTGTATACACACACGCGCGCGCACACACATGTTTTAAACCTTTTTCTTCATCTTTTCACGTGAGTCGACAGCAGTCACCTTCCTCCTCAAACCCTAACCCTAATTTGTGAGGTTTGGGAGAGTTTTTGAGGTGTTCATCAAGAGGAATGCGGGATTTTGCGACTTTGGTGAAGAGGGATCTTGCACGCACGTGTTCAGGAGTTTAACACGACGTTTGAGGCAAGATCATCTTCTTCCAAAACTTTCTCTGTAGTTAATTCATGATTTAATATGTTCAATTGATGAATCTCATGTTAATGTTTAACCCAATGTTTTGAAATCTTAGTTTATGATGTTAATCTTTAAACAAATATGAAAAAACTGTAGTTTTGGTGGCTGTTTATATTAGTTTGACGATCATGATCATTAGGGTTGTTTTATTTTCATTTTTAACTTGTTAATCATGCTCTAATCACGTTTAAACCCTAGTTTTACAATTTATTGAATTTTCTTGTTAATTAAAGATGTCTAAACCCTAGGTTTATGATATCTAAGTGATGTGGACAAGTTTAAACAAATTTATCTCTGTTCGAAAATTAGGAATTATTATGTTTAAATTTCATGTTGAGAAAATATGCCTTTAATTGAAATTTTTTGGTTAATTAATATATTAAACCCTAGATTTACGAATCTATGTGTTTTATCTTGTTTAAACAAACCTCTACCTGTTGATAAGTGTTCATGAGTTCTAAATCAGTTTTAATTACAAAAGAACCAAGTTTTGATGGCAAACAGATCAAAACCCAAACCTGTCAACTTTCGGTCGGATCAGTCGATTGATGTTACCATCGGTCGACTAATGGCAATCATCAGTCGACTGATGAGCTCGTGTGTGCACTATTTCTGTGAATGACCCGATCACTCGACTAAAGCTTCTACCGGTCGACTAATCAGGTCTAAATTTGTGATGTTGGTTCCTTGCACGTGGGGTTCGAGACGTATGATGATGGGCATACACGTATAGTATTGTAGTACACACACGGATATCCCGAAGAGGATTATTATAGGTATTATCTCTATCACACTTGAGATATGAGTTATTTGTTACAAAGTACACATATTGTCATACATGGATATCGTTAATGAGCACCGCTCAGTACTGTTTAGGATAATGTGCCGATATATCATTAGTGCAGGTCATTGAGTCGGGTATTAGGTCACCTAATCTGGCAGTCCGTCCCGCACAGAGATGCGACGAGGCTTGTGATTCGTATTCCTAGGATATTTATTTTAGTAGTCTGTTCCGTACGTTGATTCGATAAGACTAATGAGCCGTATACATATTTAGAATACCAATTTGGTAGTCCGTCCCGCATGATAATACGATGAATTATTTATTTTGTAAGGATTTGCATTGTGGTAATTGTCTGATAGCCGGAGTCTTTGGTGGACGCCAATTATGGATATGACTCATCGCTGAGTCATATATGACTGAGGTACTTTATCTCTGTGAGTATGCAGCATTATATGTTGTCATTTATATTATCTCCCAAGGGACTGAAGGGAGATATGTTTGGTCTGATATTATGATGATTTTACTTGTATTATTTTTCTTTATTCTTAGTTAGGAATTAATAATTAGTGATTCACAATTTGAGACATGATATATACATGAGGGTTTCCTTGTTCGGATTATTTCGCTCGACGTATCAGTCTTGTGTTGTGAGTTTCTAATTATTAATTCTATTTAGATTGTTTATTTTTAGTTCGATATTGATATTTAGTTATCTACAATTTGAGACATAAGGTATATACATGAGGATTTCCTTGTTTGAATTATTTCGCTCGACGTACTATGTCTCGTGTTGTAGGTTTCTAAATATTAATTTTATTTAGATACATGGTAAATGATCTAGATAGATTATGCTTAATAGATAGAGTCTCCATCACATTTAGTAGCTCTTCCCCAATGGACGAATGAAGATGATCTTGCTGTAACGCTCTGACGCTCTTGTTTTTCTTTTTATTTTCTAATTTTTTTTAGGCAGCAGCTCAGAGTTTCAGAGAGATGTAGGATAACGGACTTCCAACATACTACATAGTCGCTGTCACATATATTTTTATTAGATGAGAGTCCACCGTAGTTGATATTTATCTCCAGACATTTAGAGTTTTGTTTTTCATCTTGTAAAGGTTGTGTGCCTTAGTTTATTTTCAGTTGATTTATAGAGATACTTCATATTTATTTCAGACTTCAGTTGTATTCAGCTTATTCAGTTGAGACATGATTATATTTATTAGATATCCCTTTCTACATCATGTCTAATGGATTTATTTCTCTTATTTTGCATGTTTTGTATCTACACTTCTTATTTGATTCCACTAGAGATATTATTGTGATGGTGAAACATGTTATTGCACAGTGTGGGTGTATGACAGGTTTGATATCTCTGGATTCATCTTGGACTATAGTCATGTGTGAAAACAAGGGTGCCACAATCTACCTAAAGAAAATATCAAATAAGATAAAATTGCAGAGGGTAGACATAGAGGCTAAAAGATGGCTAGTTTAACAATAGGCCAAATTCCTAATAACTAAACGATTTTTAGGAATCTAGTAATCAAATAGAGAGCTGACAAGTTAAAAGGATGTTGCGCCTTGACAATGAGCAATAGCGATTCTCAGTTAGCGTCATTACATGATTTGCGTGACCTGAAGTGTTAGCTAATATATCATATAATCTACGCAAAAGAGACTTGAAGACGTTCCTCTCTCCTTTTTTGTTGTGTGCCTGCATGAAATTTGATGCTTGCATGGTTTACAAGGTTCATAAGTTTTCCCCTTTTCCTTGGAAGAAGATACCACTGATTATCTTAAATGAGGAACTCCAATGATTGTCCAACTTTCACCTATTATTTATCTTCAAGAGAAATAACAGTTGTGCTCTGAAGAATTATAGCAATGAACTCCTCTTTGCGACTCCTCCATTAACCAAACCAAGCACACTGTTTAGCATTTATATTTGTCTTTGGACTGGAATTAAGACTATGATATTATTTCTTCAAATAAAATTATAAGGAAAAATTTACCGGTCTCAAGGAAAGCGTGAGAGATCACTGCCCTAAAGACACATATGCTGATCTCATGTTAACAACCTACAAGATGTTCTTTAGCGGTACGATCCCCTCTCTACCGGATAACTTATGTGCACCACAGAAGGGAATTGACCTCTTCGTGTACGTGCCCAATAATACTAGAAGAAGAATTTGAGGAAGAAAGAGAAGGAAAGGATAAGTAACTGCTAATTTTCAATTCTATACGTTATCTCGATAGAGGATTGCTTTTATCAGAGAACAGAAGATGATAGAAAGTGAGAAATTGTACCCTCACATAACTCCCACATTCCTCTTAAGGCAGAACATCCTAACTAAGACTTTGATATTTGTAGTCAACAATGCCCTCACAAAGAAAATATCAAAACAAAACAAAATAAAACAAAAGAACAAAGATAAAACAAGATAGAAATATGCATGGACATGAGTTATATGCATTCAGTGCATATAGCTTCTGGCCTTGAATCTACACTCATTAACATTCTGATGCATTCTGAATTTTACATCAAGTTATAAAAGTTTGGTCAATACTCTCATGGAAGTGCTATGCATGTTGATGACCTCTTTGTAGGTGAAAAACTAGAGTAATGATGATTATGGGAAATTTACTTTTCTTACAACACTATTGTCTTTTTGCAGCAACTATGGGTGGACAATGTACCTACTTGTGGATGGGATAGTTAGCATCATATGCACACATTCATAATTAAGCATAAATACTTCAGACCTTCAATGTGTTACCTGATTTTGTGTTGTTTTTATCAGGAAATTATAATCTTCAAACACAAGCAACATGTAGGTGCTGTAAGTCTTCATTCATTTCTAAACAAGAGAATACTATGACAAAATTTAGAATATTATCACATTATAATAATATATCAGTGTATTTCAAAAGCACTGTGTCCTCATAACTAATAAAATAAATAAAATACAGGATAAGTGATGTTAAAGGTTAAATCATGATGGTTATAGGAATGAGGGTTAAGACTTAAGAGTATATGATCACAACATGGTGCTAGACTAAAAGTGATTTGGCTTCATCACATACCATGATGAAATAATAATTAAAACATTATCAAACTCTCCTTAAGATCAACCACGTTCAATTTCTTATAAAGCTGATGAAGAATAGAATCTTATCAAACATCAATAGTCCGGAAGCCTAGACTCCAACAATTATAAGCATGTGGTACTGAAACTTTCTCTCAACTGATTACTTTTTTTAAATCAACTAAAAATGTTGAGGACTGCTGTTTGAAGTGTAGTACTAGCATGAGCAGATGCATATTCCAACAAAAACAAAGAATATGATTATATTACAAGTTCATGTGACACTATACCTTGGCAGCATCTTCAGGGTTGTTCTTTACAGGTGCATATGCAAGCCAAGCATCCATGACCTAGTTAAGAAACGACACATCATTATCTTGATATTAAAGAAAGAAAAAAATTAAAAGAGGTTAACAAAACATAAAGGAAGAACTAATCAAAAGTAACAACTGAATATTTCACGAAGACTGGCCAACAGTCTACAATCAGCCATGAATTTTAACAGTTCCCACAACTATTTTGTGAATACTATGAATAACTGTATACTACTATGAACCTTCCTACTTTCAGATAACTTTCCAGTCGTGCTAGCAGTCTAGCAGATGATGTAAAATGACATATTTTCCCTCCAACTTTATCCTATTATACCCTCCTTCATGAGCTGGGAATAATTTTATTTCCCTGACAAGTGCATTACCATCTGCTTTGTCTTCTCTTCCTCCACTCCCGTCCCTCCTGTTCTGCACTCAAGACTCTTACCCTTTGCTTTTTTGCCATATTCCTCCTTAAAATAATGAAACAGTGATCAATAATGAACCTTAGAATGATCTTCAAGACTTCAAAAAGATACACCTGTGAGTGTATGGACCACATACCTTACACTACCATGAACCGTGGAGTAACATATATACAAGCACACATTTGTGTATGTACGGATCTGACAAATATATACATAAGAAAACAAGAAAACATGACTACAATGGCGGATCCATGGGGGCTTACCCTGAGATTTACTGATAAGTGGAAGAGAGGCACTTCACATACCCAATTGTTTACATGTGCGCTCCATGAGACTTGGATAAGCATGTTGCCAAAAGAGAATCCCCATCTGAATTTTTTTAGTTAATAAACTCTTTACTTTTAGTTGTTTCCATTTTGCTCTCATAAATGCATCAACAATTAGCAACAAACTTGGTTAATCGTTTAGTGGCTACATCCGCATATGCGATATGGCTCGACTATTAACTACCGCTAATAAGGAAATAATAAGAGTTTAAGTGTCACATTTTCATTGCTTTTCCGCTACCATGTCAGTTGGTTTCAGCTTAGAGTATACACCCATTCATGTTTATCAAACTTCTGTGGCGTATTATTTTTTGTCTAAAAAAACCAGGACACTATTGGTCCACGCCAGTATGTCACCCACTCTACCCTTCCCCAACCCCAGCCCCAGCCCCCAAAAGATACTTCCCCTGGCAACTCACGGCTGCATGTTACCTCCCCCATCCCCAACACAAAACCCTAAGCCACTTAAAAGCAGCAAAAGGATAAGGACATGCTTCAGAAGAAAAGAAACCATCCTTCCAGTACTTGCCAGCTTTTACAAATTTAATTCTCAAACAGACCGTAACCGTATAATGCAAACCCATGCACAAAGCAGATGAGGCAAGAAACGGTCTATGGTTAATAAATAAAAAAGAAAAAAAGAAAAAAGAAATGGTATATGGTTACAAACCAATTAATATATTTTTTTAATATGCCCTCAAAAAATCATGTTTATTTTGATAAAAAACCAACAAATACTTTTCATTTGATATACCACACAAAAGACCAAACAACATAAAATGACTGGAATACCCACAGAAATGACTTTAAGATAACAATGGAGTGGAATAGAAAGGAAAAGTCCTTCAGTTATTTTGTTATAGTTGGACAACCTAAACATGTTAAAAGGGTTGCTATCAAAAAAAGCTGAATTTTGGGGATATGTCAGTGTTAACGATAAGCAATATGTGAATGACTTTTACTTACCGTAAAGCCAACCCTCGCTGATGAAGGCAGTGTTTTTGGATAATCTTGCATCATACACTCCAATCGAGTTGATGATTTAAATGATGTCTTGGTAGAATCCTTGTATCTGAAAGAAACAAAGAACATTAAAGTTAATATTATGCAAAAACATGAAAAGTATCTAGGTGCACAAACTTGCTAAATTTATACAACTATAGCTATTAAATAAGTATGGCTGTTATTACTTGCTTTACGAACATATGTTAGCATGCAGCCTGCACATATATACAAATAATAATACCACCATCAACAACAACAAACAATATATTAAAGTGCATGGGAGTATGTTCTCTCTCTGTTCTTTGGCTTAAATTGTTCCTTAGAAATTAAGGGATGATTTATAACTAATGTGTTCATTTTTCCGAAGTAGCATTTTATTTTCAGGTAGTCAGTAAGTCAGTTTACAATAATCCTAGGTATAATACAAATGCCCGCCCTGACTTCTCAATTTACTCTCCTCAGAATTTGTCACCAACTCCAGGAACAACTTAGTCATCAAACTTGTATCAAACTGTGAAACTTGTTGGTGATGCAGGAGCAAACAAAGAGTCGAAGACCAATGTTCACTTTCAGGTTTTCTGGACTGCATGAATGACATTGATTGTCTCAGTCATAACTTTTCCTAGGAGACTCCAATTGACTCTCCGTTCGAAGCGTTAGAAAGATCAATTTTGTATTCTAATAAATTTGGTTGTGCATGAATTGGAGTTCTCTGGATAAAACTATCTGCAGCATGCTAAGAGGCGGTCAGTCTGGACTGCATAGACTGCTAGTTTTCTAGGATAATGTCTTTTAGTATTTTAATATCATTTAACTATCATCCAGAATTCTGAAATTCTAATGCTTCAAGGGCTGTTTCAAGCCTATATATATGCTAGTGTTCTAATGATATGGTAGTGTGTTGAGTTTAATTGTAGTTGAGCCTCATGCTTACTGTTTGCTCTAGATTTCATGGGTGAATTCCATTGAATGTGAGTATTTATATGTATCTCCAAGGAGGGGTCCCTGGAGTGGTAGTTGCCATATTTCACTAGAGTGGTGAATCTGTATCCCTAGAGTGGTAGGCTAACCCAAATTATCATCATTTCTTCTAAGATTGCATGTCTGTATCATCAGAGTAATCGACATTTTATCACCATTTCCTCATATTTTCCTTTTATCCATCTCGCATGTACCATCCCGGTATCAATTGGGATTTAACTTAGCACTATAACACACATCGTTTTGAGCATGAAAATATCAAATGAAGAAGAAACTCAAGGTAGATGGTTCCATGTTAAAGTCAAGGTACATGATTCCATGTTATTACTGCATCACATTTTTTTTCAATTTAACAGGTTAAATGAGTGTACCATACAACCATTCTTCTTCAAAGTTTTACTAAATTTGCATTCCACATATTGCGTTTTTTATTCTGCTAATTCAAAATCACTTAAATTCAAGAGTTTCTATCTTTTTACATTAGAAACAATTCTTTCCTAGTCCCACCAACCAATACTATTCAATATTGTGTCTTTAATAAATGATTTACACCATGGAACTTTGTCATGAATATGCCTAGTGAGTTTGCAAAAGAGGGAGAGGATTAAAGCTAATTATTGATGTAGACTAATGGTAATATGAAAGTGTTGCTTATATTTAATTACGCTAATATCTACTACATATTTGTTTCTTTCTAAATCTACATATTATCTACCTTGGCACTCTATCATAGGGTTTTTCTAGATCAATAAAAATCATATATAAATTCTTACTCTTCTCCCTGTATCGCTACATCAATTGTCATAATATATAAATAGGTTCCTTAAATGACTTCCCTGAATAAAACCAAACTGGTTCTTAGATACAATTGTCTGTTTTGTTAGCCTTTGCTCAATGAGTCTCCTAAAGTTTCACACAATAACTCATAAGCTTGATCGTGGTAGTTTGAACAGCATTGTATAACTTCTTTATTTTTATCTATCTATATGTGTTAATTATCTGAGCATCAGGCATTTTCTTAGTATTCAAAATCTTATCGTAGAGTTTAGTCAAATCATCCTAAGCTCATATCTCCAATACATTTCCAATAGTCATTTATAAAATCGCCTATTGTTTAACTATACATGTATGTATATACACATGTACATCTATATGTTTATATGTATATGTATACTAACACATACATCATACACGTATAATGGTGTAGCCAGGAAATAAGGGGGCTCAAAAGATTTTGTTTGTAGAGATTGGCACTTCTATATAATTTTCAACATATAAATATTTTATTATTATTCCAAAAGTTTTTGTTTGTAGAGATTTGATACAGCCAAATGCAAATACTTAAAATTTATACCAATAAGAAATACTAAATAATTTTCAAATCTACTCCTCTTAATTTATATATAATTCTAATGCATGCAAATGCACATAAGATGAAAATTTATACAGAATTCTTAATTTGTGAGTATAATCATGTGATTGAAACATGAGTAATTTCTTGATTTTATATTGTTGTAAATCTCTCTCTACAAGGGAAGTTTATGGTATGTGATATTCATTATCAAATTTTTAAAAAGAAATCAATAGCAAAATTACCTTTTAGTCTTCAATAGGAAGACATATTTATATGTAATATTTCAATTGCTTTTAATTTATAATAGGTTTAAAAGAAAATTATTTGCTCATTTTTTGTTGTTTTACAATTTTGATTTCATAAGGATGTATATGTAATATGATAGGGGAGAAAAGAGAATGATAGTGAGAGAGAAAAGGACAAAAAATGTTGAAGTAAAGTAAAATGACAGAACCAAGAGAGAAATAGGACGCATGAGACCCACAGGTATATAATGTAAACTGAATTTGTTAGATTAGCCTCCTGCACTAAAACAGTTGAAAGGAAAAATGTCTACACCCTTCGTATTCACATTGCCCTTAATATGCTTCTAAAGAGTGGTATAAATATTAAGTATGTCTCATACTCTGCTTTTGTAATTTCATCAAGGGGGTCCATGACCCCTACATAGCATTGCCCTTGCACACACATATAGAGAGAAAGTGAGAACTCATCTCCTCCTCAAATAGTTGAAATCGATTCCCCATTGAATCTAATGATAGGTAATTCAAACAAAAATTCACTCTATTAATGTTTTATATGCATCAGCTAAATTATCTAGGTCTAAATTAAGCACATCATAGTTTTCTACCTAGTATTAAAAGGCCCCATTTTGACCGCTTAAGTGGTTCGCAAGGCAGAAGTGGTGCCTCACTACTCCACTTTCGTCAAAACCAACCAAAGAAAGTGAACTTGGTGCTTTTCGCTTGAAAACGCGGCAGAAAGCTTGTACAAGCATTGTTAAGAGCTAAAATATATATAACGGCGCTTTTATCAAATACGGATTTATTGCACCAACCCAAACCTATACCTAACCCATTTTCTTATGTTAAATCCTATGCTTCTCTCTCTTCTCCGCTTCTACAACCCGAGATGAAAATAAAGCCTAACCCTAAATCCTGCTCCATCTACCTCATTCACTGCCGCTGAACAACTATGTCGCCTGTGGCCACTAAATCCGCGTCCGATCCGTCTTTAAATCCTTCTCCAGCAAGCTTCCTCTTCACTATCACCATCACAAACATCACCTTATCTTGAGCTCTTCATCGAAGCTTACCATTATTATCTCCAGTCGAAGCCCATTCACCTTTTCCAATTGAAGCCACTTCCTCTTCCCAATCCCCTCCTCCGACATATTGATACATATTTAAACTGGACCCTTTTTTTAACGGTTTTGTCGCTATAGACCCAAAAAGCCTGAGCAGTGCCTACCATTTCGCTTCGCTTTCTGCTTTCCTCAACCATGTTTCTACCATGCATCAACAAGATAAAAACAGATGGCCAATATACAGAAGCCCTATTTTGGTTTCTTAACGATTGGTACGGGTACAAAATACAGATAGGACACAACACATTTATGCAACAATAATAGTAATGACAATAACAACAAATCTTTTATCCAAAAATTTTGAGGTCAGAGGACTAATACAAATAATATTAAAAAACTCCTGGATATAGTTACGTCAATGGAGATTGAAATAATAAAATTGTATTCACATGTGAGTTTACGCCTTGTTTATGAATCTGGAAAACTATAATAGTTAAATAAATATTAGAACTCAGATATTTCAAGTTTTATTACAATAATAATTACCTAAAAATAGTAATTTAAATATTATAATACGTTTTCAAGTTATATACATCAATAATTAAAATAAAGTTTTATACTTAACCACATTTGAAAAACAAATGAGATTAAGGGCCAATTTTTCATGTATAAAAATCTTTAACTTCCTAATCTTCGACACATGTTTTGAATATGTTAAAAGAAGTATCGTCCACCAACCCCAAAAAAAACGAAAAGAAAATCCAATATGTTTGGAACTACTGACACCAACCAGATAAGTCAAGCAACTTAATTATAATATACCAATTGCCAACGATTTTGAGAAAACTATCCATACAATATTATCGCCTTTATATAGTACTAATCCCTTGTTACATGTTGATAAAAGCCCTCGATATTGTACCATCCAATTAAAAGATGAGTACAAAGGGAAAAATATTAGGATTAACCTTAGAGCGGCTAATCTTGAAGACATAAAAGAGTTTAAAATGCAAACAGCTAAGCTATTCAAACTCAAATTGATTGAAGAAACTAAATCAAACCATTCTTCCCCAGCCTTTATAGTAAGAAACTATGCGGAGCAAGAAAGAGGGAAGGCTAGGATGGTCAATAACTATAACAAAGTTAATGAAGCCACCTAATTTGATGGGTTATTCATCCCAAACAGTAAATTGTTACTACACATAATTTGAGATGCAAAATAATTTAGTAAATTTGATGCAAAATCCGGATTTTGGCAAGTCAAAATGAAGGATGAATGAAGTAAAAGGCTAACAAAAACTTAGTTGTCCTAACAGAGGACATTATGAATAAAATGTTATGTCATTTGGCTTCACAAATGCTCCTTAAATATTCCAGAAATGGATGAATAGCATTTTTTGGGCATCTCGTCTTTGTTGTTGTCTAC